AAGGTACTTTTCATGTAGCTGTTATGTTTTATGTTTTATTGTTACATTATATAATTACGTGTTATATTAACTTGCATATATGAGTCATTTACTGAGTATTTCTTGGGAAACTAAGGACATTATTAAGTTCAAATATTTTGAAAACAGCTTCTCAGTTTTGAAAATTAATTTACCAAAGCATAATATTCATTAATTTAAATATTATATCTTTAAGAAACATATATTAGGGGCTGGAGAGATGACTCAGCAGTTAAAGAGTACTGGCTGTTCTTCCAGAGGACCTGGGTTTAGTTCCCAGCACCCACATGGTTGCTAACAACAGTCTATAACTCCAGTTCCAGGGGATCCTCTGTGGGCATTGCATGACACGGGTGCACTTACATACATGCAGGCAATACACTCATATGCATCCAATAAAAAATAAAAATTTTTAAACGTCTATTTTAAAAGATAAAGGAAGTGTTGTGTACATTAATATTATCTTCAAATATCAGCTCTTCAAATGAGTGAAAACCTTGGAACCAACGTATTTAACCAGTTAGTGCTCTGGTCCTGAAAACTCCCGAGAAACCCCAGTTCAATGTATCGATAGCACTCATGCCAATGTCCACAGTGGGAAACACGGTGACTGAGATGAGCAGTCCTAAAAGGGATTTGTAGAATCAATGTCAGACTTGTTTCTAAAAGGATCAGAGGATGAAACGATCGTACATTTTCACTTTTAATAAAGTAACAATATTTCATCAAAACCGAAAGCACTAGGTCTCAGTCAGAATAAAGGGAACTTTCATTAGCATAGAGCCATTGTTTTTCCATGTGATATAAAATGTACATGTTGAAATATGCTGTCAGTCTCTTTGACTTTTCTAAATTATAGCCTAGAAATACATCCCGTATCCTGACTCAGCACAACTCTAACAATTTAAATCTTCTTACAGAATACAATACTTACCTTTATAAGAAGATATTTTCTCTATTATTTTCTATAGTTCTTGTTGCTATCCTGACCCAATCAACCAGATTTCAACAATCATCCCCCACTCTCTGTAGTTTTACAAACACTGCTCAAAACTACAGTCTCCACTGAACTGCCTCTATTTGGAAGGTGACATCTATGTGCAGGAACTTAAGGGGAAAGTGAGACTCACTAGAAACATACCACAGATAAGGTGTAGGAGAGAAGTCTAACTTTACATCATGTCCTACCTCCTTTATATTTTTTACTGTGTGCTGGGCTAATCTAATATCTTTGCCTTAAAACAGAAAAGTAATGAATCTGGCGTGCTCGTTGGTGGCCTTTGTCATCTTTTAAATTCATTTTTTTTTTTTTTCAGATTCAATACTTTGGCTGCTGACAAGGGTTTTTTCTGAGATGTAGTCTCTTTGTGGCTGGACACATTTTCTGGCCTCTGGGGCCTCAGCCTCTGGGGCCTCTCAGTGGTTCTTAAGCTGAATTGGATATTCTACAGAAGGGAAAGGAAGGAAAGCAGTTGAGATGTTTTACATAGGCACATGAGGAACTTGCTCTTTTAGGAGCTAAATAAAAGCACAGAGAAGTGGGTGAGAGTTTGATCAGGGGTTTAAGGACATGACTTTATCATTTTCATATCACAGGTTTTGGGGAAAATGACAAATCCAGATGCAGTATGAACACACGTGACTGCAGGTCCATGCTCTCTGCTATCCCTGTGTCTCATTAATAAGGAGAACTTTTCCTGAGACTCCTCCCTTTTGCCCAGAGATTGACCTAGAGAATAAGACAGCTGTTCTGATTTGGAAAGCATCTTCCCATCCAGATCCTTTAAACAAACAAAGCCTTCATGGCCAAGCATACTGTTCACTGGAACAAAGGCTCTGAGATCTCCTGTTTCCTTCCACAGGGCAAGGAGGACTTTAAGATTTTGGAGGGATTAGAGATAGCCAAGCATCAGGGAAGGTGGCTGATGCTTGTGACGTGGCAGCAAAAGCTACCACATGTGGACCAAATATTGAAACACAAACCCAGATAAACAGGAAGTCTCGCTCCATGTGTAGACTTACGAAGTGATAGGAGGTAAATTCGTATGGAGAGATGACTGGCTTCATTTAACATTGAATACAGGTCCATAAAAACAGAAGAAACAACATTGAAGTGTGCTCTTGGTTAAGATCCCAGAAAAACAAACCCTCCTGAAAGTACCATCTGGAAAGGAATATAAGAAATTATAATTCTAGTGTATTTGGAACTGAGCTCTGCAGAGGGTGAAACCACTGCATCCATTCTCTTTAGCACGAATTCCTTTTCCACTCTGCTTAACACTGGATTGCACTTTGGTTTTAAGGGACTGTAGACGCAGTATGGTCAACCAGTACTTGAGTAATGGTGCTCAGTGATTAAATTACAGTGCATTCTATAATCGAGACTGGAGGCTAGATCATTGCTGAGAATAAAGTATGCGACAGCTAGACTTCTCCAATGTTTTCCCGTCTTTCCTTGCTCACTCGTGGAGTCAACTGTAACATACCTACTTCCCCTAGATTTTAAAGTGAGTAGACCTCGAGGTATAGCTCATTGGCAAAGCATGTCTTTAACATGTATAAAACCCAGAGTTTTGTTCCCAACACCACAAAAAATAAGCAAACCTTTGGGTCACACTAGGAAACTGGTAATGAAGTATTAGATAAATGAATTTCTCAGCCACACCTAGTGAGAAGAGAACTCTATTTGTGATCGAATGTGAAAGGCTTAATTCTTTTCTTTTTTCTATTTTATTTTCATTATTTTTATTGCATGTATGATCATATGTGATTTTTGCTGAGTCCAAACATCTTTGGCTCACTCATCACTTTCTCTAGATGTCTGTAGCTCTTTGTCACCTCGTTGACTTCTTAAAGTAGCTAGGAAGTAGAGGTTGTTCTTGGGGGGGGGCGTTAAAAAATTACATACATACATATATATATATATATATATATATATGAGTGTTTTTATATACACATTTATCTTTTACTTAATTCCTCTCACTCTACAATTACATACATACATATATATATATATATATATATATGAGTGTTTTGTCTGCATGTATGTAAGTGTATCACAAGCATACAATGCCTGTAGAGGCCAGAAGAGGGCACTGGATACACTGGAGTTAAAGATGGTTATTAGTTCCCTATGAGTGCTGGAAACCAAATCCCAGTCCTCTGCAAGAGCAGCTAGTGCTCTTAACTGCTGAGACATCTCCCTAGCTCCTTCTGTAGTTTCTTGAGACAGAGTATCACTATACCTTTCTGAGCGGTATCCTCAAACTCAAGGTCCTCCTACATCATCCTCCCAAGTGCTGCCATACCCATTTTAAAGTAGCTTCTTATGTCTTAGTATAGAAATTATTGGTGTATATATTTAGTTGACAGTTTTTACATACAACCTCATTTGACTTCCCTGTTGCAAGATAGGTGAAGTTTTCCCATTTCATCAGCAAGGAGGCTTTGTGTGGCTTTCTGTATCTTGGCCAAGGAACAGCACAGTAATTAAAGGCAGAGCCCATATGTTAGTTCAGGTCCTTTCACCCAAGGCCCAACTTCCCTGCATGTTGTGTAGCCCAACCCCTCATTTCTCTGTGCTCTAGTAACTGTTCAGTTTTGGACCTTGCTGCCACCTTACAGCAACTTTAGGCCATAAATGACTTGTCAGCAGTTTTTAAGTGCATGGAAACTACAACCTCAGCCTTTGACTCTTCCTATCCCAAATCATTTAAGCTCAAGTTGCCTACACAGTCTAGTCGGAAAATACTATAAAGGGTTGTAAGTACCCTGAAATGAAATTAGCAAATGGTGGGTTTTAATCAGTTCTGGAAGGAAGGCTTTGCACTGGCATTTGTATTTATTTAACTGACTGTTGGTGCTTACGTAACATACAAGTTCATCTGGTCGGAACAATTCCCTTTGTGTTTTCTTCAGAAAAATCCAGAGGAAGACAGCTCAGGAAGAGCACTGGGTTGGGAGCCAGGGCACTTACTGCTCACCATCTGCACTGTGCGCAGCATGGAACAGCTGCTGCCGTTCTTCAGTGTCCTCAGCCAAGTCTTCAACAGCAAAGTCACCAGCCGGTGCGGAGGACACTCAGGGAGCCCCATCCTCTACCCAAACTCCTTCCCTAACAAGGACATGAAACTGGAGAACCACAAATCATTTTCTAGCAAAGCAAGGCAAAAAATTGAAGAGATGGTAGAAAAGGATTTTCTGGAAGGAGTGATAAAAACTTGACCATGACCAGTAGTTCCATATAGCTTAAATATAAATGTAATTATTTAAAACAAAATACTGCTCTGATTTGTATAGTTTTTCTTTTCCTTTTTTTAATATGTGTAACAAAACACTCTTCAGGTTGTATTTAAATATTTGTAAATAAGAGCTTATGTCTGAATGTGGCCTGAATCAAGTTTAAATATTGTTGGCTCATACTGATGATGATGGTGCCTACAGAGAGATCTATATATGCATTTAGAGTCCATTGTTTCACTGTCCTGAGTTGTCTTAAACCTGCAAAATACACACCATGTTTTTTTCTATTGGTTTCAGGCTTCATTTAATTTAAATTGGGTTTCTGTTTGTTTGTTTCCTTCTTCCCGTGGTTAATAATGTCCTGGTATCAGAATGGTCGCTTCGCTGTCAGAGGCTGGGTACATTAGATGTAGCTGTTCTTCCACGTCCCTTTCCTAAGAGCAGCGACGACTAACTGAAGCCTGTGCCACGAGTCCTCGTGAATACGGCACTGGCCCCCCTCTACATCAGCAGGAGGAGACGGACTACCTCTCAGCTCAGATGTTGCAAAGTAGACAGGTAAGTCATCTCATACTTACTTTAAAGATCTACCACGGAAAAATGGTTTGTATGAAGTTTTCTCCACTCCACATTTGAATCAAGGATGATCAATGCCACCATTCTTCATCTTCAGTCAAGTCTTAACCGGCAGTCACAAGCCGTCTTGATTAGGCAAGTGATGACAAAGACATCACAAGGAGTTAGTTGGTAAGAAAATTTAATTTCCTCGCACCCTGCATGAATTATTCCCTGTATACACTATAAAATTAATGACAGACTAAATATTCGGACTTATAGATTAAAATTAGAGGTTAGCTTCTTTACCAGGTATAAGGTTTATCAGTTTGTAAAGAATTTTTCTGGTAGTGTTTAAGATAAACAGATCTAGAAATAATCACTGTAAGCTATGATCACACATGTCTTGGTACTGCCAGTATTGTCAGCAGTTTGATAAAAACCATTTTAGAAATCCAGTTTCCCAGAGTACAAGAATTATCTTCAGAAAGATGATTGGGGTCTTTCTCCAATTCCTCCAGCCAGCTGATATACTGCCAAGCTCACTTCATATGCAAGGCTGTCTGCATTTTCCTGCAAATCACATTAAAGGAGATTAGGAGAGAGACACACATAGTACCCACCATCCTGACTGGTTACTCTAGGGGAGGGGCGAGTGCTTCCTGAGTCTGTTTCACTGGGATATCCAAGTGAAAACTTTCAATAATAAATTCCAAGGCCCTTAATTAAATAGAAAGTGAGCCAGATTCTTCTAAATAAGGTAAGTTTTTAATTCCTCAACTCGTTATAAAATTATTCCAAAACTGAGTATCTCAAAACCAAACCTTTTAAAAGCAAGAAAGTTACAACTGTTAAGAGTAATTCTTAGGCTTTCTGTCACCATCACAGATACCATATCAAAATTACTTGAAGTGTCTCACAACTACTGTATTGTACAAGGACTTCTGTCAAGGGCTTAAGCAAAGACAAGATGTCTAGAGTATCTGTAGAGGGCAAAGGATAAAGTTCCAGACTACAGGCCTTGACTGTCTGGAAAATAAAGGCATAGAGTACAAATGGCATTTAAAGAAAAAGAAATGGAAAGCAGGGGCTGGAGAGCTGGCTCAGCAGTTAAGAGCACTGACTGCTCTTGCAGAGGACCCAGGTTCGATTCCCAGCACCCACATGGCAGCTACAAACCGTCCTTACCTCCAGTTCCAGGGGAATCTGAAGCCCTCTTCTGACCTCCGCGGCATTGCACAAGACGGGTGCACTCACATACATGCAGGCAATACACTCGTATACATAAATAAAATATTTTAAAAAATGGAAAGCAAATCCAGAGCCCAGAAAAAAATGAATGTTGCCAATTTGTTTAGAAATAGACCACAAAGCCAGCTGTGTTTACAGTAATGAGATTACAATTTTAAAGAAAAAAAAATGAAAATCCACAGTATATTAAAATTAGCATGTGTCAAACTAAGGATTTAGTTATTCCTGCTACAGCTAGAATATTATACACACTCTCAGATTGCAAAGATAAAACCTTTTCTACAGTGAGATTCCAAACAGAACTAAAAAAGTACTTTCTCTTAGTATTCCTCCTTACCCCTGTGGTGCCAGACTCTCCTGGCCAACTTCTTGGTAGAACTACCCCAACTTACTTGTGAGTCTGCTTCTGCATACACTCGGACGACATCTTCTGTACCAGAGGGCCGGACAAAAGCTCGAGCAAGCTTGTACTTCTTCACTAGGTCGTTGATGGCCTCTTGGAGTCCGGGTGGTGTAACTGCTTGTCTTTCAGCATCTGTGGTGCTAATAACTCTCCTGTCTGCAACCTGAGCACAGCATTTCTTGTCTGTTATATTACATTCCCTTTAAGAAACATAACCTGTTCAAAATAATCCTCACCACCCAGTAAGAGGCTGATGTTTCAGCTTACTGTACTACAGTGAGCAGTCCTGATACAGTGAATAACAGGACAAATGTGAAGTGAAATGGCATCAAAATTCTCCTGGTTTTTTTTTTTTTAGCCAAAACCATATAATGCTTTTTTAATGTTTATACAACTTCTTTGGTGTACAAAAAACTTACCTTTAGCCAAACAAGACACTTCCACACACTGTCTTAGAGCTACCATTAAAACAGTTCCACATCATATCTTGACCCAAATAGTCACTGACCAAACAACTTTATGTACTTTTTAATAGACTAAGTGGCAAGCAATTATACAAGAGAGTCATGGTAAGGCTCTCCTAGATATGCCTAAAATAAATCTAAACACTCGCAGCCATTTCTGTGAACTCTGGTTTTAGTCTTTTGAATTGTTTCAATAAATTCTACTGGAAAACCAGAAAACGTGTAGATGGCTACAAATCAAATAAATCCCCTCCCTTTGAACCTGCAGATTCTAGTGCTCAGCATCTAACTTCAGAAAGTTCTGTGGTCAGGCATGGTGGTAAAGGCCTGTTATTGGGGACACTCATGGCTGAGGCAGGAGAATCAAGACTTTGAGGCCTGCCTGGGGCTATGTGAGGAGAGTCTCTCACAAAAAAATTAAAAAGCACCATATGAACCTTTTAAAAGTAATTCAGAAGGTACATTTTTCACTTAAAATGATAGACTACATAGGTTTTTCTTCAAAATACTATGGGGTGGGGGTATGGAAAATGTACAGGGCAGACACAGAAATCTGTTCAAGCTGGGTTCATTAACACTTAGGATTTTATGTTTAAATCTTTTCAAGAATTTTTAAATGGGGGCTGGAGAGATGGCTCAGCGGTTAAGAACACTGGATGTTCTTGCAGAAAACTCAGGTTCAAATCCCAGCACCCAGCTAACAACTGTCCGTAACTGCCGTTCCAGGGGATCCAACACCCTCTTCTATCTTCTGCAGGCACTGCACAACATGGGTACACTTACCTACATGCAGGCAATACACTCATACACTAAAAATAGATTTTTTTTTTTAAATTTTTAAAATGATGCATAGTCAAACATAATAACCATTCTTTATAATAAAGGTGGAAAGTAAACACTTCTGAGTTATTCTGTTGTTTTTTAAAATGTGAGAACAGGTTATTATACTTTTTATAGCTTTATTTTCTATGTAGAGTGCATACATAGAATGAAGTCCAGCTTACTGAAGAAACACTTGTGCATGGCAAAGTTTGGAACAACTCACATTCAGAAAGGAACTTTTAGGGTCTCTCTCACCTTAACTTTGAGTTGTCTGTTTGGGAGATCAGTGTAAAGAGCATCCCACTGCTGCACAGTCAGGCCCTTCAGAACCAAGATGGCCTCAATCACCAGCATGTCAGAAATTGCATCACCAGCTGCCTGTGTGATGGGGAACCAACAAACTACCCTTAAACAAATCCCACATGAATGTTACCCATCTTAGAAAACCAGCTGCCCTGCCCATGCCCCATTATTAGCAAGTGTGACTGAAGACCAGGAAGACTAATGAGATGCACACAGCCGTGGAAGATGATGAAAGGTATCTAGACAGTTGAAACTAACTCCTAAGAAATCTGCCTCATCCGTAAAATGAGATTAGACTAAATTTGGGCCTGATATCCTATGACTCAAATTCTGCTTTATAAGTAGATCCCCTTTAAGGTAACTCTGATGGTTCTAATAGAGAAAAATGTTGGATACACTTGAAGTTAAATCCAACTCTAAGCCTTTGTTCATTTGTAAAATGGAAATCATAAACCTGCTTCATGTATTACTGTGATAATAGAGCAAGATAGACAAAATGCCCAATGTGGAGCAGACACGCACTAGACTCACTGCTTCCCTAATCTGATTATAGCTCTTCCACAGCAGTCCTCTAATGTTAAGTATTTAGCTAATGTATATGTCCCTTTCTCAAACATGCAAGTACTGTTACAGAATTTCCTCAAGGTTGGAAAACTTTATACACACACACTAAATATGTAACTCAGCAGCTGAGGGTTGTTATTAGTTAGATGCTACTAGGTATACTTTAAAATTTAATCATAAAAAAATCAGGGAAAGGAAGCATATTAAAGGGGGGGGGGCTGGAGAGATAGCTCAGCAGTTAAGAACACTGGTTATTCTTGCAGAAGAGCCAGGTTCAAATCCCAGCACCCACATGGCGGCTAACAATTGCCCATGACTCCAGTCCCAGGGGATCCAACAGCCTCTTCTGACCTCCAAGGGCATTGCACAACACGGGTGCACTTACCTATATGCAGGCAATACATGAATACACATAAAATAAAAATAAAAAAAAAAACAAAGCAAAAAACTTACACCATTTCCAGTGTAATCTCACCTATGCACACCACTGTTCCAAGGAAACCAGCAGGCTAGAACTTCTCCACTTTTTAATATACAATTTTATGTGTATAAGTATACCGCCTGCATGTATGTAAGTGCACCCGTGTTGTGCAGTTCCTGTGAAAGTCAGAAGAGGGCGCTGAATCCCCTGGAACTGGAGTAACAGACATTGTTAGCTGCCTTGTGGGTGCTGGGAATCAAGCCTGGGTCCTCTGCAAGAGCAGCTATTGCTCTTTACTGAGTCATCTCTCCAGGCCCATATATACAATTTTTTATACAATACTCTGTCCTGTCCATTCTGTGTACCAAAAGGTACCCCTGAGCCTGCCGCCCCATCGCCACTTACCTGGTTGAACAAGTTGATGATGTTTGCAAGCATCTTGGCAGCTTTCCCTTTCTCGTCTTCTAACTCTGCTAGTTGTTTTATCTTCACTTCAACCGCTTTACTAAACAGTGCCTGTAGCAGAAGCATATGAGATCAGTCACAAGCACCATCCAGGCTCCAGCCTTCAATCACCTAGCCGTGTTACCTTTCACTCCTAATGAATCTAGAGAAACCAAGGAGAAAAATGGTGATAGCCACTAACATAAAATCAAGTCAGAGCACAGAGGGTGTTAGTAGGGAAAGTTAGTTTATGGACTATAAACCTGGTCAGAGAAATGTAAACAACTACTTAAAAAGAAGATAGTACTTTGCGAGGACACTAGTTCACTGTGTTTTCCCTAGTAGCCAGGTTACCTTAGAAGGGTGTGCTCTAGGGTTCACACCAGAGTATAGCAGACTGTCCAGTACTTACTACCATATAACATCATGGCCTCAAGATGCCTGTTATTCTGAAATGCCATACCCATTTGACAGCCCTCAAGAGACGTAGTACTGAGGATTAGCACACAGTGCTCAAGGGCGAAATAGGCACCACTTGGCAAAATAGACATGCTAGTCACCTGTTTCTGTAAATAACATTTTATTGGAACATGACGTGCCCATTCCCTTTCTCTATGAGTAGGTGAACAGTTTCAACAGAGACTTTACGAGCTGCCCCTTAAAAAGCCATTTACCAATTCCTGCATTAGATCACTGACTTGTTATATTCTAGTTGCATTTTGTAAGAACCATTACCTTTTTCTCCTTAGATTCATGGCTTCCAAAAGTGAGGAAAATGATTTAACCTACATTCATATTCTGTCTACCTCATATCCATTCAAAAAATGACATGATGTACAAAGACGTATTTTCAAATATTTTAGTTATTTCTATGTGTATGAGTGTATTGCCTGCATGTATGTAAGTGCACTCATGTCGTGCACTTACACGACAGAAGGGGGCATCAGGCTCCCCTGGAACTGCAGTTATGGGTGCAGGGAACTGAACCCAGGTCTTCTTCAAGTTAACTGCTGAACCATCTCTCCAGCCCCCTACAGACATTTTTATTTGAGGAGGAAGCATGGAAATTTACATCATGCTAATTAGTAGAGGTGACAAACAATACCATTGAAATCTACGTGATGACTTTATAGACATACACAGGTGCCAGGGATCCAGGTGCAACCAATTATGACTAGTAATAATCAGATACATACAGATTTGAGATGCATGTGCCAACATCTCAGTGTTAGTAGCAAAAACGAGTCTTTCTGCAAGGAACAATATATTCTAAAATGAAATGGGGATCTTTTTTAAAGGTTAAAAACTCATTCAATTTTATGTCTTACAGGGCTTATACCAAGTTCAATATTGTATAACTGTATTAATTCAACTGTGAACCTAGAAACTTGCACCCACTTGTGAAAGAGATATACTCTTGCTCTAGAGTGTGTTACTGAATATGTTAAAGCTGTAGTGAAATGCTTCTTCTAATCATGTAGTTATTAAAACTTTTAAAAATATGATTTAAAAAATTCTTCAAAGCATAAAAATTTGCTCCTTAATAATTAGTAGATGTGAAAAACATCATTGAAATCTACCTGATGACTTTATATCCATGCTCAGATGCCAAGGAGCTCAGAAAGTAACTGACTGTGACTAGTAATAATCTGATATATAGAGATTAGAAATGCATTGTGCAAACATCTTAATGTCAATTGCATTAAAAATGAATTTTTCTGTATGAAACTTTTAATAATGAAATGGAGATCTTTTTTTAAGAGGTTAAAACCTCATTTAATTTTATGTCTTAAAGGGTTTATACTGAGTACAATATTGTATAACTGTAATAACTCGTACTGTAAACCTAAAATTTTACAGCCAATTTTGAAAGAGATGCATCTTAGCTCAGAAAATTGTTATTGAGTATGTCAATGCTGATGTAATGAAATGCTTCTTCTAAGTATGTGGTTATTAAATAAATAATTAAAAAATTAAAAGGGTGTGGTGGCACACACCTTTAATCCCTGCATTCGGGAGGCAGAGGCAGGCAGATCTCTATGAGATCAAGAACAGCCTGGTCTACATAGTGAGTTCCAAGCCAGCTGGGGCTAGAGGCTCTGTCTCAAAAAGACAGACAGACAGATGATAGATTAGATAGATAATGATAGATTAGAAGGAAGACAGACAGATAAGATAGATGATACACATTAAACTCAATGATCAATTTTTCCCCACAGCTACTGAACTTTTACCTCCTATAAATAGGAATACTTCAACTAAGATGTGGGGCCTGCTGTCCATTTCCACAGTTTTGTGCTTGGTCTTTGTCTGCTTGAGTTTGCATGGGTCTTGTGCATGCTGACATCATTGCTGCAGGTTCCTAAGAGAAAGGTCCCAGGAGCCTGTAGGACTGTTTCTGTGTCCTGCACCTCCTCCCTGGCTCTTACAATCTTTCCACCCCCTCTTCTGCAATGGTCCCTGAGCTCTGGGTGCATGGATTTTAATATAGGAATCCTGTCCAAGGACTCATACTCTGTAGACTCTTATTCTCTACCTTTTGGCTATTTATGACTGTGCTAGATAGCTTTAGTGTCAACTTGACACACCTGGGTTGAAGAAACCTCAACTGGGGAATTGTCTCCATTGAACTGACCTGTGGCCATGTCTGTGGGGCATCTTCTTGAATGCTCAGTGATGTGGGAGCTTCTTGAGTGTTGAGTGATGTGGGAGGGCCCAGCCCACTGTGAGTGGTGCCACCCCTGGGCAGGTGGGCCCATATTCCATAAGAAAGCAGGCTGAGCGGGGCCAGGGGAGCAAGCCAGTAAACACTGTTCCTTCATGGCCTGTGCTCCAGCTCCTGCCTCCAGGTTCCTGCCCTGAGTTCCTACCTTGGGCTCCCTGATGAGCTGTGACCTGGGAGATGGAAGATAAATAAACCCTTGGCAGTGGTTGGTAGTGGTCAGAGTGTTTTGTCACAGCAATGAAGAAACAAATGAGGACAGTGATCTTTTGTATTCCTGGCTCTCTATTGCATAGGGAGTTTCACTGATGAGAACTGAAAGATGCATTAGTGTTCTTTTCATCCCTTGTTCATTCCTATATAGCCTACACTGTAGATGTGCCACTTAGGCTTGGGCAATTCACAGACAATTTCCGTGTGTGACCAGTTGTGGAACTCTGTAATAATCTCTGTTGAAAAAGAAGCTTCTTTGATGCATGGTGACTGGGATACCTTGTCTTTAAATTTAAGGATCCATATTTTGCACATAGTAAGAAATTAAATTTGTCTACATTGACACCCTTGGGGTTTTCTCCAAGATTCATGAACTCTCCAGCTATTTGTATTTGGCTAGGTTTACAGTACCATACCTTAGTTTCCTCCCATTGAGTGGTTTTTAAGACCAATTAGGCAGCTGTTGATTACCCCCTAGATAAAAGCACCACTACTGCACCAATGTCATTTGCTGTGCTGGTCATTGATGTGGTTTTTAGGCCTTGAACCTGGGGTTGGATCATCGATTGATCAGCTTGCATAGTGCTCCCAAAGCTATGAGAGCTAGCCTTCAGGGGAGGTGGCTTCCAGGTCAGTTCCAGCTCCACTGCTCTAAATCCTATGTCCAAAGCATGTCCTGTCTTCATCAGTAGAGTCTTACCTTCAAGTTATTGGCAGCTGATTACTGCTGGGTGAAGAAGAACTAATCTTCTTAAAGGGTGGGACTCTAGATAAACTGACTAGTCCTTAGTGGATTAACTTGCACTAAGGAACATCTGGGGACACTAACTTGACATGACAGGCCTTAACACAAAGGACAGAATGTGTGAATTCCAGTGGGGGGGAAGCTGTGGGAGGGTGCCAAAGGGGTATAAGGATGATTAAGATGTTCTGTATGAAATACACAAAAATTCAATAAATTTCTTTTAAAAAGATAGAAAAAAAGAAGTAGGAATATAGTTTATAGACAACCTGCTTTTAAGGAAACAAACTGTACATTTTAAAATAATGTTTTGTTTGGTTGTTATGTGTGTGCGCATGTGTACGTGTATGTGCATGCATGTGCATGCTGCATGCATGTGGAGGGCACAGGTCACCCTCAGGTATAATTCCACAGGTGCTGGCCACCTCGTTCTTTGAGACAGAGTCTCTCACTAGAACCTGGGCTCATGGATTAGGCTAAGCTGGTTGGTCAATGAACCCCAGAGATCTGCCTGTCCCTGCCTCTGCTGCAGTAGGATAACAAGTGCACGCCTTGATACATGACTTTTTAGAAGCGTGCTCTGGATCGAACTTGGGTTCTCATACTTAAATATCTAACTGAGTTATCTCCCCGGCCCCTTTAGTAATCACTAAAAGAACAAAGTAGTAGAGCTTTTTTTTTTTTTTTTTGAGACAAGAGCTCCCTACAGCCCCTGCTAGAACTTGCTATGTGAGCTCTGGTCTAGATCTCACAGAGATACACCCCTGCCTCTACCCTGAGTGCTGGGATTAAAGGTATGCATCACCAAGCCTAGCCATTATATTCCTTAAAACATACACACACACACACACACACACACTCTCTCTCTTTACCTAAAAATACATGCGGACCACATAATCTACCACTATCTGGTCATTTTAACAAAACAGGCTGAAATCCATTCTAAGGAAAGTGCCCGCTAAGGTCAGCTAAGATCTTAAGAGAACTTACTGTGCCATGTCCATTTGCTTCAAAGTAAACTCCAATGTCAAACTCCTGTGCCTTGTGGTGCAAATGTTTAACACCAGTTTTGGTGCAGTAAACAGGTACCTATACCACATTTAAGGAAGGACAACAGCAGTTAGTCAATAAATACTTGTTATACATCTGGCATCTCAGAAATGAAACAAAACCTGGAGCCCAGGGGTCAGAGAGATAGCTCAGTGGTTAAAGCACTGCTGCTCTTGCAGAGGACCTGGTTTGGTTCCCAGCTCTGACATGGCAGTTACAACCATACATAACTCCAGTTCTAAGGGCTCTAACACCCTCTGTGGACACTGCACAGCTCGTGTGCTTACAATAAATGCAGGCAAAACACTCATACACATAACATAAAAATCCAAAAAATTTTCTTAAACCTGATGCCTTCCCCCACTGAGAAAGACAATAAAGCATCAAAATGCACTGGCACTATAAGCAAAGGCAGTGGACACTCACAGCAAAGAAAGCAAAATGAACAATGAGGGTCTCAACCAGCCAAGAGATGGTTACAAGTGGGGCATGGCACCACCTGTTTTCCGAAAGCTGCTTTGGCTACAGTATGGAGAATGGGATCCCGAGGAGCTGCATGCTTTTTCAGGAAGGGCCATATGGTCTCTTGGTCATTCAGTTCTGTAGTGTGCAAGCGTAGCCCCAGATGGCATGTAAACAAATGCAAGACTCTTCTAATAAAGCTTTACTTATAAACAGTAGTGTGCTGGATTTGGTCCTTAGACTGTTACTTGCCAGCTCTTGGCTTACAAAGTTAAGAAAGACCAGTTAGGCTTTCAGGACTGATCTCAATAAGAAATAACTCTGGCTGGACCAGTAGCAGTACATATGAAATCAATGGTGGGTCTAACTGAGATTCAGGAATGGTCAGGGACAAACTGATGGAAATGAAACTACAAAAGACATCAAGATCAGCATTTGATGAACCTGGGAAACCAAAGGAATGGCAAGGGCTAGGAGGACTTAATCCCTTGCCAGGCGTGGTGGCACACACCTTTAATCCCAACACTTGGGAGGCAAAGGCAGGAGAATCTCTAGTTCGAGGCCAGCCTGGTCTACCTAGTGAGTTCCAGGGACAGCTGTAGCTACAGGGAGACCCTGTCGCAAAAAAAGACAACAAGACAAAAAAAGTACTTATTCCCAAAGGAAAACAGGTTGAGAAGTAACAGTTTCTTGTGTATTATGTTTTTAAGCATTAAGTATCTTTACATAAAGAAAAGTTTAACATAAAATAGTCATATACCACATTAGCAATGGACAAGACAGACTGAACAGTACAGTGGTCCTGGAAGATCAAGTCTCCTAGTGGTACCATGCCGTTTAGTTTGCATTGAGCTCATTCTGTGTTTTCACACAATGACAAACCACCTAATGACACATGACCACATTTCTCAGGCTGTACCCAGAAGCAAGTACTAACCCCATGAAAGGCTGGCAGCCGGCCCGGGTGGAGTGCCAGGTGTGCCGGGAGTGATAATCCTGTCACGGTGTTCAAACTGGGTTGCAGACTTGCAGCCTCAGCTGTGTTCTGTTTTACCCACCTATCAGTTCTTTTAAAAAGCAGGAAATTTACATGATATTTCACTTTCTGTTTCTCTTGAAGACGGACTAAAGTTGAAGGACCCGGCCCAGCATTCTTGGTCCTCCTCACCTGCAATACTGACTCACTGACCTGCCTAGCACCTGCAGGAATCTGAAGTGTTTTACAAAAAATTGGAAAAACATCAAAGTAGCTAGTGAAAAAATAGAGAAAAGGCAAGTGGCTTCCAACTTTTTCCACGAAGCCCAGATTCTCAGAGCAGGTAGTGTGGTACAGAGGGTGGTCCTCTGGAACATATTGAGAAAATAATTAGAAACAAACTCCATCAACTCAGAAAGCCTATCCATACGTGTAAAGAAACAGCTGCACTACACCAAACTCTGATGAACACATCACAGGCAAGATGCTGAGGAGACTGGAGTATGGGAAACAGTCTCAGCTCAGCTGTTCGAATAGCCAACAGATGCATTCCATTTCATCTTCTCAACATGGAAGGTGATCAGTCATAAAATCTTACCAAACTTGCCAAGTGCATCTGAGCACAAGCACACGTCCGTGGCCATGTCTGGGGTGAGCCCTAAGGGAAGGGCCCAGCTGGAGGAAGCGGTTCACTGGGGGCACCACCTTTTCTCTGTCCTCTGCTTCCCGATGAGACCGTGTGAGCAGCGGCCACATGCTCCTGCTGCCGGACCTTTCCCATCATAGTGAGCCGTATCCTTTCAGACTGTGAGGCAAAGCCCTTCCTTCTTGTCAGATATTTGACCATAGCAGTGAGAAAAGTAACTGATACAGGTGGAATCTCCCTTAACATTTACATTTATCTCTAGGCTCTTACAGAAAGTATTTCTGAGTTACAAAATCAGCTTAGTTTACCTTTCTAAAGATTTACATTGGTTATAAAATCACACAGAAAGAGCTGACATTCCTTCAGTACTAAAGGAAATGCTGTGAGGAGTGTGAAAGCCTCCCCTTTTGCATCAGGAACAATCAAGTGCTTTAATTCCTATTTACCATTACCTGGACATTTTTGTGGGGACATTATCTTCCTTACAGAAACATCCTGCAGTACTATTCAGGTTTACCAGTAAATGAAAACAATGCAATACCTTCATAACTTCCTCCAGGTACCGTGTGGAGCTTCCATTTGCATATGCAGTTTGTACAACACCAATATTCAAACTCTCTCCAACCTGGACAAAAACAATGGTACTTAGCTTGCCATCAAAAGCACAGAGTCTAGGAAAGCAAACAGGACAGCTCTAAAGAGAACCAAATCACCAGTCAGTTCTGCCCTTCCTCAGTGTAGGCAATAAATGACATACCCAGTATGTATTACCCAAAAAAAGCCCATGTATGCTTTTGAGCACTGTTCTATAAGGAAATCTCTTTAAAAACAATATGTGATCTCTGAACGCTATCTCTCCAAATTGTTAGAGTATTTACAAAGTTTAACCTTTTCTAGATTCTAGTCCTTTAAAACTACCTTTTTAAATAATATTTTATTGATTCTTTGAGAATTTCATACATTATATTCTGATCAGATTCAGACCCCCTCCTCCATCTCCAAAAGGAGAAAAAAATTCTCACACTACTAAGCTTATCATGACAGTAATAAATCTCTCAGATGTTATTTTTTTGGTAGAATTTGGGGCTTTATAGGGTAATGACAGAATTCTCAGTAATGTCTTAGTTTTAAAGAAACCAAAACTTCACAAAGCTCTGACATAAAGCCAAGTCAGTATAAAGAAACGGCATACTTTCACATTCTAAAACCAATGCCCTTCTGTTGAAATGACTGTAGTTACCACTTCTTTTTGTGTTTTCTGGGTATAAAGAACACCCCCCCACACACAAAGTGCTGCTGAGAAACTCATGGCTGTGATGTGGAAAGGCCCCTGGCAAACCTGGATGTCCCCACCTTACCTCCAACAGGAGCTCTTTTAGGAAACTGCTAACCAACGTTGCTATCTTGTCTCCATCTATGAGATGAAGGTGACCGCCCGCATCACAGTAGAAATACACGATTCTGTCTGCATCTCCATCGAAGGAGCAGCATCTTTCATTGGACTTTATTTCCATTCCTAGCACACAGGATGAGTTAAGCACTTGAGTCTAAGAAATGGGACTAGAACTCAACATATAAAGTATTACTTGACTTTTACTATTCTCCTATTCTCTTATTACTTACTAGTGTAAATAGAGAATATTTTTCAGTACAGTATGATCAAGAATAGCTTTGTATGTTAAAGTACAACGAACCCACTATAAATTTTTCAAGAGGTGTTTAAAAGTTCCCTTCAAGGGCTAGAGAGATGGCTCAGCCATTAAGAACACTGGCTATTCTTGCAGAAGACCTAGGTTTGAATCCCAGCACCCACATGGCAGCTAACAACTGTAATTCCAGTTCCAGGGGATCCGACAGCCTCTTCTGTCCTCCGCAGGCATTGCACAACATGGGTGCACTTGCCTACATGCAGGCAATACATACATACACATAAAAATAAATAAAATATTTTTAAAAAGTTCCCTTCAAAATGTAAACCAATATCTTCATTTGTTAATAGTGTCCAACAGTTTACTGGTACTTTTTACAGGTTAAATTCTTGCAAGAGAAACCAAAAAAAGAAAAAAAACACTCAAATCTATCCATGTTGAAATTTGCTACACTAAAATTTTATAAGCCAGTTGGTTTGGCAACGCATTTCCCATAAAATTTTTTGAAAGTTACAGAGATTTCTGAATAGAATTTACTTAGTACCATGTTGTTCTTTATATACTTAAAAAAAAAATCAGCACAGCCGGGCGTGGTGACACATGCCTTTAATCCCAGCACTTAGGAGGCAGAGGCTGGTGGATCTCTGAGTTCAAGAACAGCCTGGTCTACATAGTGAGTTCCATGACAGCTGGAGCTACAGGAAGACCCTGTCTCAAAAAGACCAAAAAAAAAAAAAAAAAAAAAATACATTCTTTGCTTTTATTCTAATAGAAGTATTTTATTTTTTCATAACATCAATACCAAAAAAATAATAATTAAGAGCAAAGAATTATAATTTCTGAGGTAGAACTGGCTGGAAATTTGCATAAAGTTATCAAACCTGAAAGACTTATGCCAGATTTATTAGAAAATCTGGCCTCCCTTAGTGGTGACAACAGCTGAGAGGTGCAAGGTTCTGTTAGCCTTTCTGCCTGTGGACCACAAAGCAGCCTGAGGGGAGAGAGGGCTGGGTCTTCTCTACCCACCCCAGATCACAGCAGCACAGCGCAATCAATGAAAAGCACCAGTGGGTTGTGTACATTTGACTTAAGTACGAACTGCAGTGAGGCAGAATAACATTCACAAGTGAGGCAAATAAAGTCTGTAGCACAGGCAGCAGACTGGTAATGTGAGGAGATGGTGGGTTTGGGGAGAGATATCAGAATGTTTAAACAGTGGCAGCAGATGCAGTGAACACAGGAAACACAGCAGCCCAAACAATATATGTGCAAGCAGGTCAGGACTACAGGACAGGAGCCCAGATCTGTAACATGCATTCATCCAGAATACAGAATACCTCTTCACTACAACTAAATCTGAAGAACATGCTTCCTCTTCATCTCCACACTGTGGGAGTGAGCCCTTGGAGGGTCACTGAGGCAGTCTTCCATTCCCTTTGTAACACGGCTAGTGTAGGCAATGTGAAGCAAAGCTATTTTAGCTATCCTCAGCTTAGCAATTAGCATGTTCACTGGCCCGGCACTGTCAGCAAAGCCTGGGAACCTGACAGTACCAGGAATTCCAGCCTATGCTGGTCCCACCCAGACCTACTAACTGAGGAAGGGAGCAGGAGCCACCTCTGTGCAAACAAGGCACTTCAATGCTGATGAGCCTCAAGTTAGTGCTGTCGCTCTAAGATGCCCTTTTCTGCCTGCTTTCCCCACTAGAGTTCCCTACACACAGCAGGAGCTGACCATGTTCTGGATGGCCCTGATGGGAGGAGAATTTTAAGACAACATGCAGGGCCAGAACTAGCATTACTCCTCACACAGGAGGCCAGATCAGCTTGAAAGACTGGCTCCGTAGAGCTCAGAGAACGTTCCTGCACACAGCTGGCATGAAGTACATACCCTGTGGCAGTTTCTGGTGGGTTTTCACAAAGTCAGCTCCGCACAGGTGATTGAGCTTCCCTCTGGTCCCATCATTGAACAGCTGCAGGGACAGTCCCTGGGAGAAGTAGCGCTGCATTTCTTTGAGCTTCAGGGCTCCTATGCCGTTCGCACAGTCCACCTTAACAGATCTGTTCTCATCACCACTGCAGGAAGCCTTCACAGGAAAGACAATGAAAGGAAACTTCAAGCTACAAAGGCCAAAGTGAAATTCAAAGCAGGAATGTGTATGTCCCTGTGCATACAGAAATGTGTCCATTATTTCAATTTACACATCTAATTTAATGGCAAACAAATGCACATATAGTCAGATGAAAATTTAAATCAGGAAGGTTCTACTGAAGAAGCAACTTACAGAAACATAGTTTATTAGAATTTAGCTTCAATTAAGCATGATCCATTAATATTAACCTATTTTTTTCCTATTTTTTATTGAATTTGGGGGGTGGTTCATTTTGAGACAAGGTTTCTGTGTAGCCACATCTAACCTGAAACTAGCTATGTAGACCAGGCTCACCTCAATCTCACAGAGATCCACCTGCCTCTGCCTCCCAAATGCAGGGATTAAAGACACTACATACATGAGCTGGAAAATGAACAAGGAGAAATCTAGCTGGTGCTGAGTTCAGAGCCTCATCTCTACTGCCTAGCTTTCATAGTGCTGGAAGGCGCTGTGCATGCTATAACAAGAGAAAAGCAATCATTAATCTCACCCAGCTGTGAATTCTGCGAGCTACACTACAACAACTGGCCTGGCAGGATGTACCCAGTGGTACAATAGTGGCACAAATATTATGCAAGTATCCAACCACTTTCTAATTGGATTTAAGATCCACATCACAAGATGGAGTCCATACCTGACACTGATAGTGGGCCTAGGAATGTGAGGCCTAGACAGGTCACAGGGGAAAACCTAATACTAATTTTCTACTAAATAGTTATATTTAACTGACTCCTAATGACTTGTTATACCCACAGAGTAGTGCATCTCTCAACTCTCAGCAAAGAAGCTTCTTCTTGCAGAAGATGGTAATTAACATGGAGACCCACGAGTGGCCAACATGCAGAGACTAAGAGGCTGCACTGTCTGTTTTTGACAGCCACTTAAATGTGAGAACAAGCACACAGATATGTGACCAACGCAGGCTATTCTCTGCAAGGTGTACAATACAGCTAGGCATATTTAGACTTTTAGGTTTGGGGTTTGTTTTTTAATTATCAGTCTCCTCGCCAACGCATCCTCACACCAAACCCTAAGTTTAATTTTGTCAAATGTATCACACCCTGCACAAGTCTCTGAGTTTGATGAGCCAATTGAAAGAAAACTCTTCTCAGTACTAAGCTAGTAACACCTACGTTAATTCTAGGGTCAGTTCAACTCAATGAATCCTGACAACCACAAACAGGACCACGACTGGGTTTCTCAGAATGAACCTTGCCATGCAAATACCAAAGTATACTTACCAGGACACACAAACAGAACCTTGGCTGAGAGAGAAAAAATGGAGATAAGCCACATTTGGGGAAGGGGTAGAAGAAGAGTGATGGACTATGTAAGCTAGGCTGTTGATGCACATGTTTGAATTCTAATCATGTTGAAGAGACGTCTCACCTGTTTGATAAGCTCCATAAAAGCCTTTGAGAGTTTCTGGCAGTAGCCCTCTATGGTTGCCTTTCCATACTGGCCACCAGTATTCCGACAGTACACCATGTAGTGCAGCTGAGGTGTGGTTAACAGGCTGTAATCTACCACACACACACACACACACAAAAGGCAGTTTAGCACATTTCTCAATACAACAACAAAAAAGTTTAAACATATTAACACCTTAGGAATCTCAATGTGACAAATTCTCTTTTGATAAAAACAGCATCTAGGAGCTGGGGAGATGACTCAGTAGTTAAGAGTACTTACTGCTTTTCCAGAGGACCTGGGTTTGGTTCCCAGCTCCCACATAGTAGCTAACAACCATCCATAACTCTGGTTCCAGAGGATCTGACACCCTCTTCTGGCCTTCGTGGGCATTGCAGACAGAGGTGCACTTACACACATGCAGGCAAAACACTCATACACATTTTTTTAAAACCAGGTAAAAAAAAATTAATAAACAGCATCTCAGAAAACAAAAATAATTTCAAAATATCAGTGGCGGTTTGAATGAAAATGTCATGTTTTTCTCACTGGTACACAAAGCACAACGCACATGCAAGGAGCTCGAGCTGGCCTCCTCCTTCCCTACCACTTTCCTGCTGTATACAATGGCCAGTGGTGGCTTAAAATGACAATGTGATGTCATTCTTATGCATAAAATCCCTCAACTGCAGATGGAACACAACCCAGATCCTCAGGTTTGATGTCATTTGGCTGCCCACCCCCCTAATCTCACCTTGCCCTCTGTTCTGCAGCTATGTTGACTTTCTCTGAAATACAGGAAGCCAAAGGGAGATGAGAGGGGGTTTTGTTGGTTTTTTTTTTTTTTTAAATCACTCAAATCTTTCTAGAGTAAGCACTATAGATGTGATGAGTATAGAGAAAGAATGGGATGCAGACGATCAACCGTTCTGAGATAGTATAAAGCATCTGACAGTATAAATACAGGCGAGGGCAAGGGGGGAAGCGAAGACTGACTCTGCACAATGCCGTACACTGGGCAGGAAGATCCAGGAATGGGTCGGGGGGATGTACTTGGTGAGACACAACCAGCACTACCTTGCTTGTTTGATGACACAGATGCATGCCTGTATATAGATGTTTATTGAAATGAGCATTTCATTTATTTACACAAGCACACATACACACATCATGATACAACATGGGTTTGTGACTGGATTGTGACACACAGTGAAACAGACACTGAAGGGTTATATAAAGCAAAAAATCAAAAATGTTTGATGAATGAATGGAGGTAGGTGGAGCTATAGCAGGAGAGATGATCATTCATAAATGACATAGAAGGAGGAGAATAAAGGAGTCCTTATCAAAAGACACAGCAGACAAGCAACAGAGAAAACAGTCAGGAATGTGTCCAACCCGGAGAAAGCTTAGAGAAAAAGCCAGCAGTGCAGAGAGCTACAAAGACACCTAGGATAAGGTAACCACAAATACCACAAGTTCCAGTGTTTCGGTCACACACCACTTTAGCTCTCTGGCAAAAGCTACTTATCATCTTCCTAGAAAAATGGCTGTCAAGTGCTGCGGAGACAGTTCAGGGAGGAAAGCACTTGACATGCAGGCAGGAAGACCAGCGTTAAGATCCCCAGCACCCTTATAAGTGCTGGGCAGGCATGGCGAATGCCTGTAATTTCTTAGGGTGCCGCAGGTGAGTTTCTTTCCTGTCGTGAGTGAATTTAAAGCAGACCCAGTAAGGCAGTGCCCCCAGGTGCCTGGGAGAAGGAAACACTAAGGACTAGTGAGAGCAGCACCGAGGAGGCCAGGCTAGCTGGACTAGCCAGTTACCAAAGGCTGAGGCGCAAATTAGTTACAACAGCAGAGTCGGTGAGCCCTGCCTCAATACATAAGGTGGAGAGCAACAGAGGAAGACACCAACGTCAATCTCTTGCCTCCACACACATTCACACGTGTCCACACACACACATATGCAACTAAAAAACGAAAAATGACTGTCAAAGGCAATGCCACACACACTACGTCAAGAGAGCCTCGAGTTGTCTGCAGCTTAGCCAGACACTTTCCAGGATCTCTCATTATCCAGAGGATCTGGCAGCCTGAATTCAGATAAGCATAGGATACCGTTCCCTGAAGAGACAGAGACTCAGCTGCAGCAGACTATGGAGTGGTTCGGTGAGCAGAGGAGGCAAGCTGAGGGAGCACACAGCTTAGCTCACAACAGAACTTCCAACAATTCCTGAAATGGCCCTAGAAATACTCCCACTAGGTAGTAAGGTAAAGCAACATTCTTGGCATTGATTAATCACATACTCAGAATGCCCATCAACTCTGAGAAATGTTGAGGATGCTTTGTGTCCTACGGTATCAAATAGTCAACCAAGATTTCATTATATAAAAATAAACAGGACTGGAGAGATGGCTCAGTGGTTAAGAACACTGGCTGCTCTTGCAGAGGACCTGGGTTCAGTTCCCAGCACTCACATGGTGGCTAACAATTGTCTGTAACTCCAGTTCCAGGGGATCTGATGCCCTCTTCTGACCTCTGGGCAATGCATGACATGGGTGCACCTACCTACAGGCAAGCAATATACTCATACACATAAAATAAAAAATAAAATACTGAAAAATAAACCAAGTGTATCCATTTCATTGCATTTAGTATGCAAATTTTCTCTTATCCTTAATCAATGGTAAAATTATGTCTTCCTAACAATTGTTTTAAAGTTAGTTTCTTTTTTCAATATTTTATTTATTATTTCTATTTTATGTGTATGAATGTATTGCCTGAATATAAGTGCACCGATGTCGGGCAATGCCCACAGAGGTGAGAAGGCATCAGATCCCCTGGAACTGGAGTTATGGACAGTTGTCAGTCATCATGTCGGTGCTGGGAACCAATCCAGGGTCCTCTGCAAGAGCAGCCAGTGCTCCTAACTGCTGAGCCAACTCTCTAGTCCCTAGAATGAATTTCTTGATGATTTATTATCAGTAAATGTTTGACTTGTGATTTCATGGACTATACTGGTGGTTGCATAAAAATGTATCAGGCAAAAGAGATGGCAAGTGGGAAAGGTCTCAGACGCCTTCCTCCACAGTGCTTCCGTGAGTACAAATCAGACCTGCCCAGAAAAACCTTGAAGATTTCTTTTTAATTTATCTAGGAATTCATTTTTAATTTTAATTGTTTGTTATTCCCAAATGTTAAAAACAATTTCTTAAAATATTAACTTAAAACTCAGGACAGCTACGTACCATGGAACTGACCTCCTAAGACAGTCACACCATCTATTACAGACTGAGAAAGTTTCTCACTGCTGGGCCTAGAAAAACAAATAAAGAATGCAGAGATGCAGAGTTACTAAGTCTGAATAAACCAAAAAAGAAATAGATGCTAACAATTTCAAAATAGTAAGTTCACTATTTCTCAACTAATGCTATCAACTCTGAAAAAAACCTAAGAGTGAATGAAAAGCATTTTCTAGGAGCCTTTTGTGCTGGGCAACTGTAGTTGTCAACTTCACACATCTGCCTAGAGGGTCTCAATGGGGAACGGCCTCCATTGGGCTGGCCTGTGGCCATGTCTGTGGGGCATCTTCTTGATTTTTGAGTGGTGTGGGAGGGCCCAGCCCACTGTGGGCGGTGCCACCCCTGGGCAGGTTGTTCTGTATAGTATAAAAATGCAGGCTGAGCAGGGGCCAGGAGAGCAAGCCAGTAAGCAGCTCCGCCATGGCCTGTGCTTCAGCTCCTGCCTCCAGGTTCCTGCCCTGAGTTCCTACCTTGGGCTCCCTGATGAATTGTGGCCCGGGAAGGTAAGCCAAATAAACCCTTTCCTCCCCAAGTTGGTACTGGTCAGAGTATTTTGTCACAACAGTGGAGAAACAAACTACAACACCTTTGTACAACTGACTTCTAAGAAAAGTTTGGGGCTTTTAAATTAAGAAACTAGATATACAGAGCCAGGCCTGGTGATGTTGACCTATATATAATCCCTCCCACCTACTTGGGAGGCTGCGGAGGAGGATTGCTAGGTTCACAGCCTGCCTGGGTTACTGAGTAAGTTCAAAGGCCAGTCTGGAAACTTCGTGAGACTCAGTATGAAAATTTTAAAGGAGGGCTAGGACTATAGCTCAATGTTAGTGCTTGCCTAGCATGCAGGAGGTCCTGGGTTTAATACCCAGTATGGCCAAGAAGAAGAACAAAAAGATAAAATGTAAAGGATATTCTAACCCATACCCAAACGCATTTTCAAGTTGACAACAGGAACATGCATGTTAACTAATAACAGCAACAACAATCAATACTGAAAGCCCACAGTGTAATAGTGTGGGGTGTTTAACTACCAAGGACATCGAATCTCTTTTTCATTTTATCAAGAGAGAACTAATTATTCATCTACCTGAAAACCAAGCAAGCAGATCATAACATAACTACCCTGAAGAAAAAGATGTAGCATGAATTGAATTAGCTACCAGGTAAGAGCCAAATACAGTGGTGGCATAATAACTGACTTCAGGGCATAAATCACTTAGCTATTTCTGTGCTATATGGCCCTATAATCAGCTATGTGTTCAAGACCCTCCAGTAACAGGGTAAAAACAAAGTCTAGGCTATCAGGAAAATGAGGAATTAAGTCCTTTTGAAAGACTCACCAGATGAAGCCAGTCTTGCGTAAAAGAGAATTATTGCTGTTCTAAAGTACACTTTTAACTTAACATTGCAAAAAGATTTGCTTTTTATATCAAATACGTAGACAATATGAACTGGTAGCTTCCAATAAACTCCAGCACGGGGCAAGATGCGTCTGAACCAGTAACAGATCACAAATAAAATCTCTATGTGCAATGAGATAAAATCATGTGTTATGACTCTGCAGGGGAAAAAAAATAAACCTACAAAGGGACACATTTTAGATGCTTCTAACAGCCATTTTACACATTTCATATAATTCTCACAAAAACATTGATTTATCATCAACATGGAGGTGGAAACTCCAAAAGACTAAGAAACCTGCTCGAATTCTGTGAAAGTGAAAGCTGGATGACTCCAAACCCAGGCTATAGTCAGGACTTAGCTGTCAGGTGCCACTTAAAAGGCCAGAGAGAGCTGCAACTAGACATCTATCTCTTCATCCTGCACATTGGTCTCGGGAATGAAAGCAGATGCAGTTCTTTACAGATGCGCGCACAGGCAACTCTGATCATCACCTGGTGTCTCTACCAAGAACTATGAAGGCATCTTGCTGCAGATCCACAGATTCTTTCTCGCTGATGTCAGTAAGCACTCTCAGGATATCCTGCTCCTCAGCATTGGCCAGACAGGTAGCGTGCTCCTCCCAGGAAGGGGCCAACATTTCCCCCAAAGGATCGATCAGCTTCACACCATTGTCTTCCTTAAAGAAAGGGAAAAAAAAAACAAAAACCCACAACCTTAAGCAGTGCATACAATGTAGTGACCTAAAGAACCCTTGTTGCAATTACCCCAAAACTGACAGCTAAGGGGCTGGAGAGACAGCTCAAAGGTTAAGAGCACTGGCTGCTCTTGCAAAGGACCCGGGTTCAGTTCCCAGCACCCACATGGCAGCTATCAATGGTCTATAACTCCAGTTCCAGGGGGTCTAACACCCTCTTCTAGTCTCAGCGGGCACTGTACAACAGGGGTGCACTTACACACACGCAGGCAAAAAACTCACAGACATTAAATAAACATTTTTTAAAAAACGACTGCCAGCTGAGCTTCTTTCCTGGGTACAAGCATGTGTTTCAAATGCATCCTCAGCTCTTCCTGACACACATCAATGTAACTGGTTCTCCATTCTCTATTCTAAAGAAACATGAGATTCAAATGGGGTAGGCAATCTGCTTATGTCCAGCCCATAAGCCAATGCTGATAATTAAAACACCAAGTCAGTCTGCATTAAACCCATGGACCACCAAGCTCTAAAAGCTTTTTCAACAGCTGTCACGTACACTTCTCTACCAGCAGGAACAGAGGACACGAGCCTACTTTCCCACCAGGAGTCTGAACTGTAAGAACATGCATTTGGCGGTGGGTGGCCCCCAGTGCTGGTCTGCTCAGACCTCTTGTAAGAAATGAATGGTTGCTCAGAGGGACTGTCAGTCAACCCGGAGAAAGAACACAGAGCTGCTCTGTAACTAGTAGCACTAGGGTCTTCCTACAAATCACAAACTCCCGGGGTGAGTTACACATTAAATATTTAGTGTTCACACCTTTAGTGGCTGAAAAAGTATGTGGTTTGTGTGGAGAAGAGGAAGCACTCTCAAAGCCTCCACTTGATGCTGATATAGCTACAAGGACAAAATCTCCAAACCTTCCCTAGCAGTCCAATAGATGCGTATCATGCAAACCAGGTGGAGCACATGATAGAAAACACTTGTATCAAAAGATTAGCTGAGACATGTAAACCCAGTGTTAAGTGACAGATGAAGGGAAAAGTGATGCGTACACAGTAAGTTATTCAGCCTTCAGAGATCTTGCCATCTGCAACAACATGGACTAAGCCAGTGCCCGTTATGCTAAGTGAAACACACCAGGCAGAGAAAGACAAGCACTGCCTGGTAACATTTAAGTGAAATTTTAAATATCCAACTCATAGAGAAGTAAAATGGTGGATGTGAGAGGCTGGAACGGGAGGAACTCAAAGATATTGGTCAAAAGGTACACACTGCATATAAGTTCTGGACATCCAATATACAGCATGGTGTGTATACCCAATTGTAATGCATACTTCAAATCCATTCAGCTAAATATGTTCACAACTAACAGTAAAGTGATGGATATGCTGGTTACCTTAACTATGATAATCATCTTGCCATGAAAAATATCAAAATAAGATTTTCATAGATAGGTACAACTTTGTCACTGATACCTGATTAAAGTGGAAAAACCAGTGAACGTGTCAAAGGTATACTTGCACTAATATATTAATTGTTCTTGAAACCGAGGCCTCATCAATATTTTGCTCAGAGCTCCCTCTTGGATCCTTGGACCTACTGGTTTGGCAACTTATTCAGAAAAGGAAACACTTATTTAGCTATACAAAGTAAGCTGGATTGAACATTTTCAAAATGTGTCTTTTCAAGTGTTTGTCCGTCACCCACCCCTCCCAATCTCTTTCATCACTAAGCTAACAGCAGTCATACATTTTTAGTACAGATACAGTCATAATTCCACTTAAAAGGACATTCTGTTTCTGTAATATGGAAGCTCTCTGAAAAATAGCCTCATTTCATTCCCTCCACACCCTCTACAAAGTTTCAGCTGAATGGCACCTACAAGAGCTGTTTCAAATGCAAAGGCACATACAAGTAAGAAGGCACATTCCTAGAATTAGAATTTCTACTTTGCTTCAAAGTGCTCACACACTAGGGCTATAAATAAGGGTGTCTTTTGAAGAACAGTGACTTCCTTACCTCAGGATTGTGTGAGGCTGTGACCATGACTCCTATCGTGGAACGTGTGTGCTTTGACCTCAGGACAGCTAACAATCCCATTCGAAACATGATGTGATCAAGATGCGCTGCAGTTGTTCGAAATCCAGCAGTCCCATACTGAAGAGTTAGTCCACTGGGCTTGGCATGGAACGCTGAGTGTTTTGTAACAGCCTCCAAATCCATGGCTACAAAAGAAGCATTTTTTTCAGGCATAGCAAGAAACCTTTCAAGGACCATTTGCTTCAAAAACTGTCAGCCCAATCTAACAGGGAGCCTTCACTGGGAACCTCTCCAAAGAATCATGTTTGAGAGGGGAAAGAAGAGAAAAGCAGTCCCCAGAGATAGAACTAACTGCGCACTCCAGGACATATACAGAGCAGAAATCAGCTCGTCCTTGACTCGTCCCTACTATGTTGTCAGGACATTCCAGGATAAACTTAACTGAAGTGACGATTTCAAACTTATATTTGGAGGCTTCTATAAGATCAAAGATCATGTTTTTTAATGTGTATGTATGTGTGTGTCCATGTGTATGTGTGCACATACATGTGGGTGCCCTCAGAGGCCAGAGAAGGTCAACGGATTCCATGGAGCTGAAGTTAAAGGCAGTTGTGACCCACCTGAAGTAGGTATTAGGAACTGAACTCCAGTCCTCTCCAAGAGCAGCAGCAAGCACTCTTAACTGCAGAACAGTCTCTCTAGCCTCACAGCATCTCACATCACTGGAGGGACAACTTAGGCTTTGGCCCAGTTAATAACTTAAGTTCACGTGTGTAGCAAGTGAGACAATGAAGTCTGAGGTCAGATTTTCAAATTGACTGTGTACCCCCAAATAGCTCTGAATCTTGGCGGTTCATTTATTGTTCTTCACGACCTATAGAGACAGAGTCCCAAAGGAAAAGCAAAATGCAGTAGCTACAGATTTTCTGGTTTTCATAAAGAAAATCTGGACATCCTCTAAATTAACTTCTAAAATCTGCCACGTGTAGCAATGTTGCCTCTCACTTATTATTGTAAAAATCAAACATGAGGCCTTAGCCCCCAAGTGTTTCTTCAGCCTCACTCAGCAGTGTACTCAGGCCCACAGGCTGTGCACTTCCGGGGTCAATTCTACCCTGCTTAAGGCAGAGATGAGGAGCTGTCCAACGACGGACAGCCACGCCCTCTTGTTTTACTGTCCTTTACTGCTTCAATGCACAAAAATTACAAGAAATGTTGAAAACTGCTTGCTTTGGGCCAGTTGGTAAAAGCGGTCATTCGCAAGCTAATTTACTTTGGGTCAAAGCAATCAAGATTTATTCACGAAGATGAATATATTTTGTAAAAGCTAACCAGTTGGCAACGTATCATGATTAGTCATAAGAGCGTCAATCACGCCTGTAAAATTCAGAATTCTCTTTAAAAACTAACAGCATACTTCTATTGAATGCGTTTGGGCTCCTAGAACTACTTTGGGCATAGGAATGCACTTCTTTAAATGTATTCTCCAAATCCCCCCAGCGCCCACTGTGAAAAAGCAAGCGCAGCCCGCTCCTTTCCACTCAACCTTCCGACCTCGGCGGTGGCTCTCCCCTCAGCTCCAGGTGCAGCTCCCGCACTCGGGGAGAGGGCGCCCAGACCGCGGGCTGCACCGTGGCGTCCGTGTGCCCCGCAGACGTCCTCCAGCCCGCCCTCTGGCCCCGGCAACCCGGGAGCCCTGTGCGGCCCCGCCGCCTCTACGCGGGCTCACCTCCGCCAAGAGCAAGCGGGTCTTCGCCACCTCCACGCACCGAGAGGCCACCGCCGCCACCGCGTCCGCCCCACACCAGCGCTCTGGCAGCCCGCAGACGTGGCCCTGCGTGGCTTCCGGCCTAACGCCCCGCCCCCCCGGCCAATCCCGGCGGGGGAGGCCCCTGGCCACGCCCCCTGTGCTAGGCCCTGCCTCTCCTCCGCTCTGGCGCCGCTCGCGCGGTAGAGGCGACTGCGGGTGCCGTTCGGAGCGGGGTTCGGGGACTGTTTGGAGTAAATGAGCTGGAAGGGTGAGGCCTGCGGTGGCCAGGGTCGGGCCGAGGGTTGGCGCACCGGGGTCGCAGCTCTCCGGGTCTGGGCCTCGGGAGCCGGCTCACAGGGGTCCGGGCTGGCGGGTGCCGGGAACCCGCCCACCTCCGGCCGGGCGTCCGCCGGCTTCTAGCACCTGCCATCGCCGACTTGT